CCATTCTGCCTATTTTCAATTCTGGCCCTTTTCTGGGCTCTGTCGAACTCTTTTTCTAGGGCTTGGTGTCTTCTGATTGCCTGTTTGTCAGCCTTCTTTGATGACTTCCTTGCAGCCTTTCTAGGGGCTGCAGAGGATTCCGAATCCTCTGAAGCAGGTGCTCCAGAGGATGAAGGCGGGGCTCCAGTGGAGGGAATGATTGCTTCCTCCATTCTCCACTAACGCTGGGCCGCGATAGGGGGGACCCAGGTAGTAGGAGAGCTCCAACTTTGAGTAAGGACAGGCGCACTACTGGGGGCGTCTGGAACTCAGGAGCAGACTCTGCCAAATTGTCAGAGTTAGTCACTGTGCACGGATAAGAACAGGCACGCTAATGGGAATGCCTGGAACCCGGCTTGACTATGGTGGGTAAGGACAGGCACGCGACTGGGGATGCCTGGAACCCACCACTAAATCCAGAGGCGTACGGGCCACTAATGGGGGACCCGAAGTCTGGAAGGAGCCAAAGGCAACTAAACACAGTTAGTTATGAAAGGTTCTTATTTACTTTAGGTAGAAGACACCAAGTCCTGGCATCAGTAGCTATGTGTCTGATTTGAATGTCTCTGAATGACTAATAGATGCTTTAGTACCCCAGTACTGCTTGCCTATTATTCACTCCAGCGGCTGAACCTAGCTTCCTTAAGGAACTTTAACTCCCCTGTTTGGACAAAAAATATGGCCGCCGCTGCCAGGAAACTACTGCGCATGTGTTAACAAGGCTGCCTATGCCACGTGCGGTTGTAACAAAGAGCTGCGCGTGCTTCCAGCTGTGCAGACAATGGCGCCTCGTTTAAAAAATCCTGAGCAGCCTGGAGTGAAAAGACTGCTCCTTCGCACGCCAGCTGTTTCCCTTAATCAATCTCCCTCCCAGCATGCGTCCCCTTTGTCCTCCGCTTCCCTCGCTAACTGCTTGCCTTTCTGTCTTTTTTTTTTGTTTGTTTGTTTTAAACGCGAGGGGTTGCCCGAGCCTCCCCCCGTTTGTTTAAGGTGGCTGCCGGCTGTTGGAAGGTGGCTGGGGTTGTTTAGGGAGGGGAGTTAGGGATTTCCCCCTTTTAAGTGGGGGAGGTTTCCCCTGTAGGAATCTGACTTCCTGAGTTTTACAATTTAGCAAGGAAATTTTTGAGTGGTCAATTAAATTGAATTAAATTATCTCTAATTAACTTTTAAACTAAGCAATTTCAGCTACTAGAAAAAAATCCCCCCTAATGGAAAGGAACTATACCTGCCCAGGAGCCAAAAGTTCTAGATGTGTCTTCATGGCGAGATCAGTCAAGACTGGAGGATCATGGTCCAAGACGGGGCGTGGCAACTTTGGCTGACTGATCTGATTGGCCAGGAATACAGTCTCAACCCACTGCGTGGATTATCCATCTCCAGTGCTGGAGAAATTGGCACGACAGATATCTATCAACTATTGTAAGTAAGAGTTCCTGCATGGCTGCATTCAAGAGGACCTCACTCCTAAATTGCTGAGGAGACCCATGATCGACTCCATGGAATGTCAGCTGGCTGTCCATCAATTTCAGCATCGCACCGTTCATGCTTTGATTAGTGACCAACATAGACCGATAGATGTGCTGAAGACATGGGTCCGAGAATATCGAGAGTGCTGCAATATGACATAACACACCAACACTTTTGGGCACTGGGCTGCCACATCCATCAAGCCACCAGAAGGGCGGGCCAACAGATGACTATGACACTTCAACGAAAAACAGACATCTTACGGATGCTGGATGGATTTAACCATACTAATAAACCTATCTTCCAAAGCGTTGACCCGACAACAGATTACTCTGCTCAAATGGAACACGGGACATAACTTGGCGGATGCGTGGGCTTCGGATTTTGGAGCGGCATTGGAACCTGCCATACAATGGATCGAGGTGGGGGACGTCAGAAATTCCATCAAACAATGGGTCACGGGGCTATTGATAAACCATAAGCGTTGTTAAATACTGTCCAGAGAACAGAGGGACGCTAAGGAAGGACAGTACTATCATTACCCTACCGGCAGATAAGGGGAGAGCAACGGTAGTTATGGATAGAACACAATATACAGATAAAATCTTGATGTTGCTTAAAGACACGATAGCATATAAAGTCATCAACAAAGACCCCATGACCACACTTAAGAATTGCATCAATAAATTCCTTAACAATTTTAAATGTGGACGAAGACACCTTAAGGAGGATACGCCCAGGAGACTCAGCCATGGCTAGGTTTTACGGCCTACCAAAGGTCCACAAAAAAGGAGTCCCCTTCCGCCCCATCATCTCATTTAAAAGTACACCAACCTCAGAGTTAGCCAAATGGCTGAATGGTCGGATCAGCCACTAAGTGGACAATAACGCGACCACAGTAAGATCAGCAGAGGAGTTTCTTGAAAGAATTGGATCCCTAAGAGTGGAGGATGATGAAGTGATGATGTAATTTGATATCACCTCACTCTTCACCTCCATCCCACAAGACCTGGCGATCACGGTGCTGAGAGATCGCCTGAATGAAGAGGGAAAAGGACAGCATCAAGACTCCCTTCATACCGAGGATTTGATAAAATTGACAATGCTATGCCTAAAAACATACTTTATCTTTCAAGGAACCATATACGAACAGGTCAAAGGGACACCAATGGGATCTCCTATTTTGAGTATAATAGCGGAAGTGGTGCTACAACAGCTGGAGGCCATAGTAATGACTAAATACCAACCTAAGTTTTGGGCCAGATATGTAGATGACACATTTGTTGTCATTAAGAGACGCGACAGGGTTAACTTTATGGACACACTGAATTCGGTATACCCAGATATTGGTTTTACAACAAAGGAGGAGAATCAAGGTTCCTTGGTTTTCCTGGATGTACTGGTTAGTCGACAACTGGATGGGACCTTGCACACCAGAGTATACCGAAAACCAACTCACACCAATAGAATCCTCCACTATAAAAGTAACCACCCAGTGGCCCATAAAGTAAGTTGCGTCAGGACATTATTCAAACACATAGGCTCACACTGTAATACAGCCAGGGCGAAAACCTCCTCTTCCGGGTCTGTAAGTATAATGGTTACCCAGTTGAATTTGTTAGGCATTGCAGTAGACCACCCAGACCTCGGGAAGATCCACAAACTGACAAAGCAACAACTCAACCCGTACGTATCCCCCTGCCATATATTGGCAATGTGTCAGAGGAAACAGCTAGATTGTTACCTCCTTTTAATGTCAAAGTGGCCCATAAACTGGACCAGACATTATGCGCCAAAATCATGCATCCAAAAGACCCCCTCCCCAACGAAGAAAGATCTTCGGTGGTGTATAAGATCCAATGCAAGGACTGTTCCTGTAACTACGTTGGGGAGACGTCTAAGAGGTTAAAGACCAGGGTGCATGAACATGCGCTGGCTGTTAAAAGACACGAGCAACATTCGCAGGTGTGGACCCACATGACCAATTTTGGCCACATATTTGATCTTGCTTAATGCACAGGTTTTGTCTGGAGATACCACCAAGGGAGGCCGCCTACTCAAAGAGGCTTGGCTTTCTGATGAGAACTCTATAAACTGCCATATAGAACTCTGCCCAGCACACCAAACGCTGAGAACGTGGGAAAAACAACGCCAGGATTCCCAACGAAAGCAACTCATTAACCCGTTACAGGACCAGAGGGACACAGCGATAGAAAAAACAAGGGACCCCCCTTTGGGAGTCTGTACACGAGCAAGAAGAGCAAGAGAGCCAATTAAGGGTGGAGTAGAATTCAATGCGCATCTTGCAGAGAGTTTGGTGATGCAAGCGCGAGGATCACGGACAATGGAAGATCGGAGTGAATGACGGGAAGGAGGCTCTCAACATGCCTTGGGACATCCTCTGAGAGGGGCAATGTCCTCCAATAGAAGAGTGGAGACAGGAACGGGCATGTCAGAGCCTTCCTGGACAAACATACAGACCCATTTGATGGACCATCTCGGAAACACTCATGCACGCGCAGGAGCAGCAGAGTGAAAAAGCAAGAAGACTTCATTGGATACATATCCTGCCAATAGCCCTCCAGGGAAAGAACGGTTGTGCTTTGGGGTAGAAACGAGGAGAGGGAATTAGTGTGTAACACAATGGTGTGATTGGAAACACATGAACGAATCAACGGTTGGGAAAAAGGAGGAGGGGGGAGTAGCGACCCTAAAATCATTAATATTACAGCAGATAGCTGTGGGCAGGTGAGGGAAACGACCAAAAAAGAGGGGGAGGAAGGAACAACAAATCTGGAGGTTGGGATGCATACGAAGAAAGCAATGGGCAAAAGGAGAGGGGGGGAACAGCAGCCCTAGAAATTGGTGGTGTAATGACAGACAGCGGGGGGTGCACAAGGGAGGAGATTGGAGAAAAGAAAGTGGATAAGAGAATTGAGGCTTTAAAAACCATCAAGGGAACAGCGAGTACGTGCCTTTCAAGAAGGAAACAATTAGAGACATCAGATGGGCCGAGAGCCGTGCGCAAAACTGGCCAGTGTTATAAAAGGAAACTCCCACTGACTTGTTTCTATGCTCTGATGATGTCGGCAATGCTGGCCAATGAAAGCTAAGCATTTTTATTAAACAAATACTAGTTTGATATTATCCTGGTGTTCATATTTATTTGTTTTTACTGTGTGTGTGTGTGTGTGTGTGTGTGTGTGTGTGGTGCATACATTATATATATATACACATACACAGAGAGAGAGAGACATTCTTTTCAAAGAATTTCATTTTTCATTTTTAATGTGTGCCAGTGTGTTCAAAGTGACAATAATGATTATTTATCTTATTTTATCTACAATTAAACCGCTTCAGCTCCATTGTAATAAATAAGACTTTTTAAAAGTTAAGTATCATAAAATTGCAATTTAACTTAATCAAATGAGAAATAAATCAATATAAATCTAATAAAATGTATACCCACTTAATTATAATATTTATGTATTTACCCAATGTTTGGCATGCGAGCAAAATTCTCCTGGAATTCATTCAAAGCAAGCATAGCAATATGAATCTGTAGGGGTGCCTATAAAAAGAACAAATTATGTACAGTATGAGGTCAAGGAAACACAGTTTTCCAAAAGATAACTACATTATGTTGTTATACAACAAAAACAGTAACAAATCTCATGGCACTAAAGTTTAATTGATTTATTATGACATAAGCTTTCACAATTTAAAGCTCACTAAGCAAAATACATATTGGCAATTTGAATGTTAACAAATCTGACAAAATGGGACACTAATCCTAATAAATCCTATTTATTTCTAAAACATGCACCAAAACTAATTTGTTTTTGTTCAATTTAATTTACAATAATATCCAACTTGAGTTTCTTTTCCAAATATCTAATTTTTTTGCAAATTTCTGTAAGAGACTAAAATAATTTTACAAACACATTTTTTCTTTTTCTTTTATTTATTTTTAAATATAATTAATGACTTAAGAGAATAGTCAAGTCAGCAAGCAGTATTCTGGCATTAATATACATAACATTGTTTTTTCTATGTATGGATGTGTTGTGTGTACACATATACATAAAATTTATAGGGTCTCCCATCTGACAGCAGTAAATCTGAACAGTATACAATATTTAAAGCTATCATAACTGTATAAACTCATAATGCCCTAAAGCAACAATAACCCTCTTAGCTAACTGCTTGCCCCCAAAGATTGGAGAAACAACCAGATGTTCAGAGCCTTATAAAAGGCTAGCAGGGTCAGAGCCACCTAGATCACTGGTGGGAGGGAATGTTATTCCATGGAGCAAGTATAACCTCAGAAGCTACAAAGGTCTTATGCTGATGCAGTAGCATCAGTAGGTTGATGACACCAAGATCTAGATTTTTGCCCTAGAACAACCAAATGTGTCCAATGCCTGGAAGCTGTGTGAGACTGGATGGGGAGAACAGGCTTGGCTCAACTCTGGCAAAACTGAGCGTTATAGATTTTAAGGCTCCTTAGTTCTGCAAATTTGGCTCATTTAATACCTTTATTGGTGTCCAGCACTTCAGCCAAGGGCACCAGCCCCGAGCTCATGAATCCAGTCAGCTGCCACCTTCCACTAAGCCACCTGAGAACTTTGCCCCTTCAATCTTCCTGAACACTGTCACAATGACTTTGTACTTTTCCAAATCTTGTTGCCACTGAAAATCACAACTTTAGCTATTAGGTGTAATAAGTTTCCTCCATCTCAAATTAACAACACTCTAGAATCTAGACCACACATGTCAAACTCGCAACGTCACGTGACATCGTGCAATATATTGTGATTTTTTCCCCCATTCCCGGCAATGGTTTCAGTGTGACCCATCCGGCCAATGGGGCAGCAGTTTGACATGCCAGATCTAGACCATCCTAATCTACAAGCTCCACAATCACATATTCAACCCCATTATCATTATCATATGTACACATATGTGCCTGTAAGTGGATGACTAATATTAAATATTAATATTTATATAAAGCCTGCAAACATGGTTTTACCATCTGGTATAGGGATCCAATAAAGGATATGGAATCTATACAGTGACTATATTGTGACTGTGCAAATTTATACTTTATGGTCTTAATAGTTTTATCGCTTTTAATGTTTTAAATGCTTTGTGTTTTATATTTGTTTATAATGTGTTATATTCTTTTTCTAACTTTGCTTGCTGCCCAGAATCACATATGTGAGATGTATCATTATATAAATTTAGCAAATTTACCAAACCAAGAAATGTTCCAGTGTGTGTGTGTGTGTGTGTGTGTGTGTGTGTGTGTGTGTTTGTGTGTGTAAAGAGAGAGAGAGAGAATCAGGGAATAAAGTCAAATATTTGTGAATTTATTTATTCTACACTGCTATGGTACTTGAAATGAATTAGAATTAATTTATCTTCAATTGTTATTTATTAGACGGTTCATTTTGTTCTGCCTTTGTGATTTGCATTAAATTTGGTTTGTGTCATCGTAATGTTGAATGTTTCGCTGAATTTAAATATTTTAAAAATATTATATATTTACATTGATTTATATTGATTTTGCACTATTTTAAGAACTATTTTTAAAAAACAGCATCTAAATAACATTAATCTAATTCATGTGTATTTATCTCAATAAATTGATTTTAAGCTCAATTATCTTTAAATATTCCAAATAAACTAACCTCAGGTTTGCTGAAGTCAGCAACAAGATAGGTTGGATTAGACAACTGTTTCTCCAGTGGTTCCTAGGAGGAAAAAAAGGAATCTATATATAATTTTCAAAACAAAGAAATAATCACAGGCAAATTGAATTAAGATTGTCCATATTTTTCAAAACCATACATTATTTTTAGCACTGTACAATAGCAGAAACAAAAAATGGAATGTGATCCCAAAGATAGTGGAACAAATAAAAATATTTTAAATAAACAGTTTCAAGAGGATAAAACCCTACCATTCTCCAAAGAAAAATCATTAGCAACAAAGTAGAGTTGTTAGGAAATCACAATGAACATAATCTTTATATCAGTTAATAAGTACTGTACTCCTGCTCCTACCTCCAAGCACCAAAATTATTTTAGGGCAGGGGTCCCCCCCCCCAGGAACTGGTATTCTCAAGTGAGCAAAGCCCCGTCCATGCACATGCAGGATCCAGGCAGCACACGAAACCATGTTCCCAGTCCGCAGAAAAACCATATTCCATGGAACCAATCTCTGGCACTCAAAAGATTGGGGGGGGGGGCTATTTTAGGATATTAAGATGGGAGAGCTGAGTATTTGTATAAGAGGACTGTTGCTGTCCTTGTTAATTTACCTATGGTTTACTCAATTACTTTTTTCAACCTAACCATATGGGATAGGTATACACAATAGATTAAAAGTAAAGGCTCCATATATTTTTTTAAAATATCACCCTAATATTTTCTAGCTAAACAACTTATTTATCTTTGATATGTATCATCAGATTCTCATTGGATCCTATTCTTCCTAATTTCTTAGACACTTTTCCTTTAATTTGTAATTTGTCTTTATATCAACTGTTGAAGTGAACATATTTCATTGGACATATCTATTACAAATTAAAATAAGCTAAAATAATATTAAATGTTCACTGGGTTTATCAATGGTTTATTAATGGATTTAACAATGTGTATTCATTAATTTAAGATTTAACTGAACCATGTAATCATGTAGAATGTAAGCTTATTTCTGGTAATTGACATGCTTCAACATTAATGCTTTCTAAGCTAACACTGACTTCCAGATTTTATAATGACTTCTAGATTTTAGCTATGAACAGATAACCTAAGATAACCCCTCTCCTATACTGTAAAATTTCCAGTGTCAAACATCTTTGTCATTCCCAAAACAGATTTCTCCAAGGAAATCTGTATTTCCAGATCCAAAATCTCTGAGCACTGCCCCACTTATAACTTTTCTGTTATTTTGTGGAGGGCTCAATACCATATATTTATGACTTTGACACTCCACTTTATGGCATTTGCTTATTCTGATTGTTTAGTGACAGAAAGTTATCAAATGCCTAGCAAACTGATGAAAACATTTTCTGCTAAATTTGCTTCTCAATTTTTCCAAAAACACTTTTTCTATTTATTATCTGATATCATTTTATGATTAATTTTTTTTCTTGAAGATTTGCAATATTTAATTAATTAATGTTCTCTTCTTTTTGTCTTTTTTGTTCTTTTTGTCTATTTCACAGATAAAAACCTAGAAAAGCACCAGGCCCAGACAGGCTAACTCCTTCTTGCTTGAAAATCTGTGCTGACCAACTGGCCCCCATCTTTACCTGCATCTTCAATAAATCACTAGAGATATGTTATGTTCCTTCTTGCTTCAAACCCTCTATTATCATCCCAGTGCCTATGAAACCGTCCATCAAGGAGCTGAATGACCATAGACAGGTTGTTGTGACATCTATAGTTATAAAAACACTTGAAAGGTTAGTGCTGGCCCACTTGAAAAACAATCATGGATCTGCTGTTAGACCCTTTGCAATTTGCCTACTGAACAAATAGATTGGCAGGTGATGCTATTAATCTGCATTGCACTACATCTTACAACATCTTTAATCTCCAAAGACCTATGTAAGAACTCTTTTTGTACACTTCAACTCAGCATTCAATACCATCGTTCCAGATATTCTTCTCACTAAACTGACTCAGCTCGCTGTGCCTGGTCACACTGTAGATGGATCATAAGCTTTCTAACTGTTAGGAAGCAGCAGGTGAAGCTAGGCAAAATCACATCAGATAGCTGTACAAATAGCACAGATGCCCCCCAGGGCTGTGTGGTCTCTCCATTTCTCTTTTCTCTCTATATCAACAAGTGCATTTGTTAAAATACTGAAGTTTGTGGATGATACAACAGTCATTAGTCTCATTCAAGACAAAGATGAATCTGCATAGATGGAAAATTGAAACCTGGCCTTGTGGTGCAGCCAGAACAATCTTGAACTGAACACACTCAAAACTGTAGAGATGATAGTAGGTTTTAGGAGAAGCCCTCCTATTCTACTATCTCTTATAATACTAGACAACAGAGTATCAACAGTGAAAACCTTCAAGTTTCTAGGTTCTATAATATCTCAGGATTTGAAATGGACACCTAACATAAAAAACGTCATCAAAAAAGCACAATAAAAAATGCTCTTCCTGCACCAATTCAGAAAGCTCAGATTACCCAAGGAGCTATTACTACAGTTCTACAGAGGAATTATTGAGTCTGTCATTTGTACCTCAACAATTATCTGGTTTGGCACCAGCAACCAAGCAGGACAGACACAGACTTCAATGGATAGTTAGGACTGCAGAAAAAACAATTGCAATCAGCCTTCCTTCCTTTGAGGACCTGTATACTGCAGGAAGCAGAAAGAGAAAATATCTACAGTCTCCTCATATCCTATAAATAAACTGTTTCAACCTTCACTCAAGACGACACTATAGGGCATTGCACGCCAAAACAACTAGACGTGACAGTTTTTTGCCCTCATGCCATCACTCTGCTAAACAACTAATTCCCATAACACTGTCTGCCTTAGGATGTCAAACCTTGTAATAGGGTTGTATTGCAATTAACCTTCTCATCTTTCCTATTACCTATTCCTTTAGCATCTTATGACTGTAATTTTGTTCTTAGTATCTTATGATTTATGCTGATTGCTTTTTTTAAATATCCTATGACTGAGTGTTGTATCTTATGATTTCTGATGATTTCATTTTATGATTATGATCATGATTTATCACTTGTTGTTTGCATGTACACTGAGAACTTATTCACCAGAGACAAATTCCTTGTGTGTCCAATTACACTTGGCCAATAAAGAATTCTGTTCTGTTCCGTTCCATTCCATTCCATTGCACAAATAAAGGTTCTTTTGTTACAATGCTAGATTAAAACATGTTTAACTAGTTCAGTGTATTGTTTATTCAGTGAATCACTCTTTGCTTACTAACCACAACTGGGACTGAAAATTTGATTGCTAAGTCTTGCCGTGCCTAAGCAGAAAATTACACGGCCATCATGGGCTTATGATCTTACTTTCCTTCCAATCATTAAATTAAATGTGGTTGTTAAAGAAAAAAAATGTTATTGTGACTTATAGTTTTATTTCTGCTTTTTCTATTAACTGTTTCTCAAAAGCCAGTTGCAAAACCCACAAAAGGTGATCACATGAATGAGGGATGCTACCATAGTTGAAAATGCACCCTGGCTGTGAAGTACATGAGTGGCGATCATGTGAATACAGAATGTATTAAAAATGTAAGGACTAGTTGCAAAGTTGTTTTTTTAAGCATTGTCATAACTTCAGTTACTAATGAGGCAGTCAGTGAGCAAGGACTACCTGCATATCATTTAGATACAACTGAAACTTTTAGATCAGAAAAATTCAGAACAACTGATTCTCTAATAAAACTAATAAAAATATGTAACAATTATATTTCTGACCAAAAGGCATAAAAATAGAACAACTTAAAGCAGAAGGAAAATAGATTTAAAAGGACCAATAATTAGAAACAGAACAGGCAGACAAACAATAAAATCCTGATCAAGACATTTAGGGCAAACTGCTACATACCAAAAGGCAGCAAATCTCACTCCCTTGTATAAAAGCCCTAATAAAGATTAGAAAGATCCTCAGTTGCTACAGGAAGCATTTGGAACCTGTTTTTTTAATGCTAAAGAACCTGTTATGGATGTTATAAAACCAAACTTTTATCTCTATAATATATATAGTTTCTTCTTTGAATATTTACCAAGTATGGATTCAAATTTGTATCAAGCAGGTATTTCTGGTTTTCTGCATATGTGTTTATTTCTTTCATTAACAACACATTCCTCTTCCCTTTTCATATAGCCAGTTTCTTTTAAATAAGTTATACACTTCAATATTCGCATTTCACTCAAGAATTTTATCCAACCAGGATTTAATAATGTTTGCTAAGCCTTATTTGCCTACCTGCATTAAGATTTCTCATTCTTTTTGATTATTCCCCATATATTCATTTATCACATTCAGGTCAATAAAATCTAGAAGAATATATACACATACTGTTTATAGTTATCTTTAGAGACACTTACAAAATGAAATACTTTAGATATCTTTACTTGGACAGCTATGCCACCATGTAAATAAGGTTCCATATCTGTAGTATTCCCAATGCTGAAGGAATAAGGTGATATAACTGAAAGAGAGAGAAAACAGTTGGGGGCAAATTTTACCTTCCTTATCTGCTAATCTTAAATAAAATGAAACCTGAAAATGTTTGTTTTATATGGTTCTACAAATTCAGTTTGACTTTTATTGTTTTACAAGAAAAGTAACTCAGTTCATACAATAGTAAGCTAATTATCATATACAATTATATAAAAATGGAACAAAGTAATGAAATTCTATTCTATGAAAAAAGAACTATATAATAATCAGAATAATATAAGAATGAAAAAGTATTTAATAGTAATATGCAGAACTCACAGGTTTGGGAATGAACATTCAGAAAAACCATCCACCGACTATGTTCTTCTAAGTTAGTTGGTGATTTTTCTGAAAATTAATCCTATAAATCTAAAGTGGCTTGAAATGTTTGGGGCATAGAATTCCTGACAAAACTGGCCTGTTCATGCTTAATATTTAACTATTGGCCACTAACAAACTTCTTGGATGAAAAGGAGAAAGATATGTCTATCAAATTCATAAATAAAATTGGTTGGGATTGTAACACAAAAAATAATTTCAAAATAATTTTGATAGTTTAGCAAAGTGAAAATAGCCAGAATTTTCAGGCTCTCTGGAAGGCTAAAAGTGGACGTTATATGAATATCAGGAGGAATGTCATTCCAGAGAGCAGCTATCACAATAGAGAAGGCATGCTTCCTGGGTTCAAAAAAATAACCCTTAGTTGAAAGGATAATAATAATAATAATAATAATAATAATAATAATAATAATAATAATAATAATAATAATAATAATAATAAAGTTGGAAGAGACCTTGGAGGTCATCTGGTCCAACCCCCCGCTCAGGCAGGAAACCCTATACCATTTCAGACAATTGCCGTCCAGTCTCTTCTTAAAAACTTCCAGTGTTGCAGCATTCACCACCTCTGGAGGCAGGTTGTTAATTATTCTAACTGTCAGGAAATTTCTCCTTAATTCTAGGTTGCTTCTCTCCTTGATTAGTTTCCATCCGTTGCTTCTTGTCCTGCCTTCAGGCACCTTGGAAAATAGCTTGACTCCCTCTTCTTTGTGGCAGCCTTTGAGATGTTGGAACACTGGTATTATGTCCCCCCTCGTCCTTCTCTTCATTAAACTAGACATACCCCATTCCAATAGCCATTCCTTATATGCTTTAGCCTCCAGTCCCCTAAACATCTTCGTTGTTCTTCTCTGTACTCTTTCTAAAGTCTCAACATCTTTTTTACATCAAGGTGACCAAAACTGGATGCAGTATTCTAAGTGTGGCCTTACCAAGGCATTGTAAAGTGGTATTAATACTTCACGTGATCTTGATTCTATCCCTCTGTTAATGCAGGCTAGCACTGTGTTGGCCTTTTTGGCAGCTGCAGCACACTGCTGGCTCATATTTAGGTGATTGTCCACTAGGACTCCGAGGTCCCTCTCACAGTTACTACTATTGAGCAAGGTACCCCCTATACGATACCTGTACATTTGGTTTTTCTTGCCTAAATGTAGAACCTTACTTTTTTCACCATTGAATTTCATTTTGTTAGATAGCGCCCAGTGTTCAAGTCTGTCCAGATCCTCCTGTATCTTAAGCCTGTCTTCTGGAGTGTTGGCTATTCCTGCCAGCTTGGTGTCATCTGCAAATTTGATGATTTCCCCATCTATCCCCTCGTCCAAATTGTTGATGAAGAGGTTGAAGAGCACTGAGCCCAGAACAGAGCCCTGGGGCACCCCACTACACACTTCCCTCCATGTAGATGGACTCGTAGATTTGAACTCGTCTAGGCTGGACAGGTGCTCACTTATCATTTTCTTGCCTATCTTAACTTGTGTTTCTATTCTGTTTTTTATTCCACTATTTTTGGTAAGTTGGTCTATTTTTTCCCTTTGTGCAAAGACAGATGCAAAAAACAAGTTAAATAATTCTGCTTTCTCCCTGTTGCTTGTCACCTTCTTGCCACTTTCACCCACTAATGGACCAATCATTTCCTTCACTTTTTTCTTGTTTTTTACATGTTGAAAGAAACTTTTTTTTTTTGTTATTTTTGACTTTGGTCACAAGCCTTAGTTCATTTTGAGCGTTAGTTTTCCTCACTTCATCTTTGCAGGCTCGGGCTATTTGCAGCCATGCTGGTTTCTTTTGAGAGCTGTTATTTTTCCTCTTTGTTGGTATTGTGCTAGACTGGGCTTTTATTATCTCACTTTTCAAAATTTCCCAAGCTTTTTGAATTGTTTTCCCCTTGAGGATTCTCATCCATGGAATCCTTCCCAAGCACTTTCTAACTTTATTGAAATTAGTTCTCTTAAAGTCCAAGACTCTAGTTTGACTGTGTTCTATTACTTGTGCTTCCATAATGTTAAATTCCAATATTGCATGATCACTTCCTCCCAATGTTCCTTGGCTTCATCACCTTCTATCATTTCATCTCTGTTAGTGAGAATTAAATCCAAAATGGCTAATCCCCTAGTTCCCTCCTCTACTTTTTGGGAGACAAAGTTGTTTGCTAGGTTTGCAAGGAATCTGTTTGATCTTCCACTTGGTGCAGAGTTTGTCTCCCAGTTGATGTCAGGGTAGTTAAAGTCCCCCGTTACTATTGTGATGTGCTTCCTACATATCCTAGTTAGCTCACTAGCAAAAAGTTCATCTATTTCCTCTGTTTGGTTGGGTGGCCTGTAGTATATGCCTATGGCAATGTCATTTTCCCCCCTTTTATATTGACCCAAATGCATTCAAGACAGTTTTCATCATTGTTGTGCTTTATTTCTGTAGAGATGTAATTATTTCTTATATAGAGAGCAACTCCACCTCCTCTTTTATTTGGTCTGTTTCTTTTAAATAATTTAAATCCCTCTAGCTGTGTGCTCCATTTGTGGGTTTCATCCCACCATGTTTCCGTAATGGCAACAATATCATATTTGCCCTTATTAATCTGAATTTCTAGTTCATCCTGTTTGCTGTTCATACTCTGTGCATTGTTGTATAGACATTTGAGTCCTTTATGACTGACCCTGTGTTTACTTTCTACGTAACCTGTGTGGTGCCTGAGTTCCCTTACTGTCTTACCACCTATTTGGTTAATGCACTTTATGTGGCACTCGCTATTAGAAGCTTGATTTTGCTTGACAGCAAGATTGATATTCTTGTCCACACACAGATCTATGTTACATGCACTGACAGCCCTATAATTTTTAGATTGCTGGGGACAGTGATGTTCTGTATCAATTAATTCACTGTCTTCGCTGTTTACTTTAAATATTCCTCCAGAAAATCTGTGAATTTATAGTTGAGTAACTCAGTCCCTTTCTTTGATGGATGCAAACCATCCCTTTTGTACATTTTTTCCTTGGACCAGCTACAGACATCGTGACTAATATATCCAAAGCCTTCCCCTTTACACCACTCCTTTAGCCACATATTGAATTGTGCTATACGCTGGCCTTTTCCATTTTGCTCCTTATATACTGGAGCATACCAACCTTGTTGGCTCATACTACATTGGAAGACACCAAGAGAGATAGGTGGTTCCTCAGATCAATTAATCAATCAGAATACAGCTGGAAAGGACTTTGGAGGTCTTCTAGTCTAACCCTCTGCTCAAACCGGAGACTCTATATCATTTCAGGCAGGTGGCTGTCCAGTCTTTTCTAAAACCTCCAGTGATGAAGCACCTACAACTTCTGAAGGTAAGCTGTGCCACTAGTTAATTGTTCTCACTTTAGGAAGTTTCTCCTTAATTCCAGGTTGCTTCTCTCGTTGATTAGTTTCCATCCATTGTTTCTTATCTTGTCTTCTGGTCTTTTGGAAAATAAGATGACCCCCTTATTTGTGGCAGCCCCTCAAATATTGGAATACTGCTATCGTGTCACCCCTAGTCCTTCTTTTCTCTAGACTAGTCATACCCAATTCCTGCAACCGTTCTTCATGTTTTTGTCTCCGGGCATTTAATCATCTTAGCTGCTCTTCTTTGCACTTTTTCCAAAGTCTCAACATCTTTTTTGTAATGTGGTGACCAAAACCAGATGCAGTATTCCAGGTATGGTCTTAATAAGGATTTATAAAGTGGTACTAATATTTCACACAATTTTAATTTCATGCCTGTGTTTATAGAACCAAGGATTGTATTAGCTTTTTTTGGCTGCTGCCACCCACTGCTGGCTCATGTTTAAGTGATCTTGCACTAGGATTCCAAGATCCCTCTCACAGTTACTGTGTTTGAGCCAGGTTTTGCCTAATCTTACTTGTACTTTTGGTTTTTCCTCCCTAAGTGTAAACCTTGCTTTTCTCTACACTAAATTTCATTTTGTTGGATAGGGCCCATTGTTCAAATCTGTCAAGATCTTTTTGGATCCTGAGCTTTTCTTCTGGGGGGTTGGTTATTCCTGCCAGCTTAGTATCATCTGCAAATTTGATGAATTTCTCTTCTATTCCCTCATTTATGTAGATATTGAAAAGTACTAGGCCTAAGAGGGAACCTTGTCATACCCCACTGTTTACTTACCTCCATGTAGATATAGTACCATTAAAGACTACTTGTTGAGTATGGTTTGCCACTATCCATATGATAGTGATACTGTCTATTCCACATTTTTCTAACTTACCAAGAAGTAGGTTATGGTCTACTTGGTTGAATGCCTTACTGAAATCTAAGTATCTAAATATACTGTGTCCATAGCAATTTTCTGCTTTAGTCACTTTATCAAAGAATGAAATAACATTGATGTGGTATTAACTGTTTTTAACAAATCTGTGCTGGCTTCTAGTTATAACTTTGTATCTAGATGTTCACAGATCTGGTATTTTATTATCTTTCCTGATATCTTCCCAGGTACTGATGTTAGGCTGATTGAGCTAGTTTCCTCGGTCTACTTTTTCCCCCTTTTTTGAAGATGGGAACCACATCAGCTCTTTTCCAATCCTCAGGTAGTTCCCCGGTGCTCAGGATTTTTTAAAGATATGTTATAATGGTTCAGAGATAACATCTGCCAGCTCCTTTAGAATTCTGGGATGAAATCCATCATGTCCTGGTGATTTATATTCATCAAGATCAAAGAGGTATTCTCTTACCAATTTCTTGCTTTTTATAATTTTTATTTCTAGTTCGTCATTTACAGTTATGCTTTTGGTAGGTTGGCTATAGTTTCTTTTTGCGTGAAGACTAATGCAAAAAAATGAATTAAGCAGTTCTGCTTTTTCTCTGTCTCTTACTTCCTTGCCATCTTCTGTCTTTAGTGGACCAACTGTTTCCTTGACCTTTTTCTTGTTATTTATATGTTGAAAGAAACTTTTTTTTTATTATGTTTGACTTTTGTTGCAAGTCTTTATTCATTCTAAGCCTTTGCTTTCCTGATTTCATCTTTGCAAATTCAGGTTACTTGCTAATACTCTGCCTTAGTTATGTGTTCCTTTTTCCAATTTTTTTTGTACTTGTCCTTTTTGTCTTTCAGTTTATCAGAAGAATCTTTGTGCAACCATGCTGGTTTCTTTTTGGATTTCTTGTTTTTCTTTTTTCGTGGTATTGTGCTGGATTGGGCTTTTATGGTCATATTTTTCAGTTTCCCATACTTCTTGTTTTCCTCTTTGGGATTTTCATCCATGGAATTTTTCTTAGCTCTTTCTGAGTTTGTTAAAAATCATCTCTTTTACAGTTTAAGACACTGCTTGGGTTATATTCTATTGCTTGTATTTGCATTATATTGAATTCAAGTATGGTGTAGTCACTCTCGCCCAACATTCCAGCAATTTCAACTCCCTCTATCACTTCTTCTCTATTAGTAAGAATTGCGTCTAGTGTAGCATTTCCTCTAGTTTCCTCGTCTATCTTTTGGATGACAAAGTTGTCAGCTAGGTTAAGTTGTTTAGGAATCTGTTCGATCTCCACTTGCTGCAGAGTTTGCCTCCCAGTTGATATCAGGGTAGTTAAAGTCTCCCATTAATACCGTGGTGTTTCCTACATACATTTTGTTAATTAATTAGCAAAGAATTAATCTATTTCTTCTGCTTGATTGGGTAGCCTGTAGTATATGCTTATAGCAATGTTCTTCTTTTTTCCTTTTATATTGAACCATATGGATTCTAGAATATTTTCATCCTTGGTTTTATGCATTTCTGTAGAGATCTAGTGAGATAATGAGGTTTTTCCATATAGAGCTTTATAGGTCATAATCAACACCTTGAATTGCACCCAAACACATATTGTTAACCAGTGCAACTCACACACCAGCTCAAGCTGTGCAAAAGCCTTCCTAGACATAGTTGCCACTTGTTCATTGAACTATAAATCCATAAAGAGCCTCAAACTGTATATCACTCTTAAATAGGGAAATGCAATCTTGTCCAAAATTAAAGGTAGAGTATCCCCAGATCTAGGTCTTGATAAGATTGAATCAGAAACAGTTCCTCCACATCCAAATGTGTACAACCTCCAGAAACTAGGACAGAACCTGGATATCCTTCCTTGACCTGCTGAAAGTTGACAGATTGGATATCATCGATGTACTTATATTTGGGGTGGCATTGTGGCTCAGTGGTTAAGACACCAGGCTTGTTAGCCGGAAAACTGACAATCCAGGTTCGAGACCCAAGTGCCACATGACAAGGTGAGCTCCTGTTCTCACTTCAACTCCTGCCAACTTAGCAGTTCAAAAGCATGCAAATAGATAAACAGGTACCACTTCAGTGGGAAGATAATAGGGCTCCAAGATGTCATGCTAGCCACATCAGAATGGAAACATTTTCGGACAGTGCTGGCTCAATAGCCTTTAAATGGAGATGAATGCAGCCTCCTATAGTCAGCAGTGCCCTATAGATGCTATTGTCTCAAAAAACTCTGGCTTTTCTCTTCTTCACGTGTTTTACTTGATTTTAAGATCTTCACTATTGCTTAAGATTGTTTCATCTGCAATATTCAGTTCATTTTTCTTTGTTGGAATTGTTTGTGATTTTAAGAATAATTTTATCTAAGAAGTTCCTGTCATTTTGAGTTTCTTTCCCATTGGTTTTGACAGGGTAGAAGCTCTCTGGTTTTTTAAAAATCCACTTTAAATTGAAGAATTTGAAGTGGTCCATCAGAATTCTGCTCCAGTGATCAGTTTGGAATATGTACTGTACTTGAAGGTTTGCATTTGACAGGAAATATTATTTCTCCTTTTAAGGAATTCACCCGCTCTCCTCCACTTAAATTGTTCAAAGGTCATTCTTTTCTCATCTACCTAGGGTAGGGGTAGTTTAGTGTCTATGTCTGTTATTGTGCAGAGGACATGACATATTTATTGAAAGCAGTCCTGTCAAAAATATCTCAGGATTTCATATTCTCCAAGATAAATACTTGAAATGTTCCAACTGATGCTGATCAAAGTTGTTCCAGTAAATTATTTTTTGTTAGTTCTAATGCTGGGTGTGGCATGGCATAAATCTAACACATTAAAATAAAGTCAGATATTGAAACAAGTGGACTGAGATATTTTGGTTGTGCTGTCTATCCAAAACCACGTAGTATGTATTTTATAGTTATTATGAATCTTTATTAATAAATTATACAATTGATGAAAAATTCATAAAATATATTCAGGAATCTTTAGGAAGATAGAATGACCAAACATCTATAATGTTTGTGTAAGAATTAACATTAACCATTTTTCCCACGATAACAGTTTATTGTCCCCCTACTTCAAAATTCCCCCAGAACAGACATTTTGGATATAAATCTTATTTGCTATAAACTTAATTTATAATGATATGTTTTTGCTATTGCCACACAGTTTGAAAAAAAGTTTGGCTTACCAGTTATCTGATGGGTGGATCCATTTAATGCTGACATTCCATTAATTTCCCGGAAACTTACAAACTGTCCAGTTTCAAGTTTATGAGGATTATTATCAAGGCAGGTGACGATACCACAAGTTGCCTAAATTGGAACCCACCAAATAGCAAGGAAAAGTAAGATTGTAGTAAATATTCAAACACAACAATTCTTATTCTTGATTTGATTCTTGATAAATACATGGATATGCAATTTTCTTGGTAATTTTAATTGGGATTTTTTTAACCTCCAAATGTAAGGCTGAAAGAGATATCTAACTAGTTTCCACATCTAAAATAAAAATATTATCTGCTTCTAATCTTATTCTAATTTTATTTAATAATTCCAAGATATGACTGGAGCATTAAAACAAATACCAATATGAAAATTCAAATGATTATAATCATAATAAGCCTTACAAAATTGTAGTGGAAGATATGCATATACTGACTAATGCATCCTCCCCCAACGGAGATTCTCCTATATGTCAGTGATGATGTTGGTTGAAAAATTTTCCAAAATAAGTAAACAGAGGAATTTTTCCATTTTATAAATTTATTCATAAGAGTGAATGGATATTGATTAAAATATTTGATTGGCTTAGTTGTTTCAACATTTTATTTCTTTGGATGAATATAGTAAGTAAGGTATACAAAAAATAAGTCATTATATTGTAGACAGATGAAATAAATTTTTTTACACAGTTCATCTTGAATGATTATCTAATACATTTAGCCTTAAGGACTGCACATGTATGAATTACAGGTAGTTTTTACTGACTGCAACTGGGACTGACAACTCTGTCATTAAGCAACTTAATAATTAATCACAATTCCACATGACTGTACCATCTTACAATACAGGTAGCCCTCATGTTACAACCGCAATGGAGTCTGCCCATTAGGGTCGAAAGTCAGGAGATTAAGTGATCTACTTTAAGTGAATGAGTCCTCATCCCAGCTCTGCCGAGTGCATTCATTAAACAAATGCACAGGTTATTAAGTATGCATAGGGTAAATTGGGTAGGGAAGATGATGATGGACCTAGTGCAAGAACAAGACCACTGGCTTTTGGCCACCCAAAGCTCCCCCCCCCCCGAGATATCTCATGAATTGCCTTCCAACCCATAGTCTCCACAGTCACTTGGTCCTCTCCACACTCAGCCCCTGTACTCACCCTGTCAGCAATTGATCATTTAACTTTCAAAGATCTTCATAGCTCAGGAAGTCAGGGTAGGAAAAGAGAGCAAACTCCACTGCTGGGCCAGATGGCAGAAAAGCATTCATCTTTTCCTGAGACACTGGTATAGCTCTGTTTTCAGCAAAACTCTTCCCTTGTTACACTTTCCCTCTTTCTTCCAGCAAACACACGGCACACATACCCAACATTCCCTCTTCCAGCAAACTCACAAGGCCACAAACTCTTGCTTCCACACTTGCCTTCTTCAAAGTAAATCAATGTAGATAGCAAACTTCCCTGTTGCTGGAGGAAAGAAGGTGTGTGTGGCTGTTTGAGTTTGTTAGAAGATGGAGTGTGTGGCCATAGGCGTAGGTGTGTTTGCAGGAAAAAAGGAGAATGTGGAAGACGTAGTGTGTGGAAAAGGGAGAGTTTAACCGCATAGGTTGGCTGGAAGAGGGAGTGTGTTATTGCGTGCATGCATGCATGTGTTTGCAGGAAGAATAGTGTGTAGAATAGGGATTGAGTGGAAAAGTGTGTAGCTGCGTGAGTTTGCTGGAAGAGGAAGCATGTGGCCATGTATGTGCATGCGTTTGCAGGAAGAAAGAGGGAGAGTGTAGCAAGAGAAGAGTTTTGCTGAAAACCACAAACCAGAAGCCAGACCACAGCTGCATCATTAGCCACTTTAAACCCCTCCAATCCATACATGAAGCAAACTGACACCCACCATAAGATGAGGCACGACCACGAACGCGAAGCCGAACAACAGCAACGCAGCTCACCATCTTAAATCCCCCTGCAACTCAGACTAACCCGAGCACAACAAAGCCCCCACCCAAACAGAACACTCCCCCAGCCAATCAGAGCACAGTCAACCCCCTAACCAATCAGAACACACCTCCACCCAATCAGAACACAGCCAAGCTCCCACCCAATCAGTTCATACCCCCACTGGCAGTTAAAAGGAAGAAACAGCTAGGATCACACATTGCTCCTAGAAGCAAGAAGCCAAAAGCACCAGCCTGAAGATGACGAATGGGACTTCGTCAAAACGTCACCAAGACACTTCCAATTTTATGCGGGAGAAAACCTGAATAACCAAAGACCTACATACAAACATCCGTGAAAACCTCAGAAAACACACACACACACACATATATATATATGTATGTATGTATGTATGTATGTATGTATGTATTTGTGTGTGTATGTATGTATGTATGTATATCATAAAGGTAAAAAAGGATATATGCAGTGTTATCTTCATTTTAAATGTCAAAAGAAGTCTCTCTCTGTCTCTCTCCCTCCTCCTGTCTCTCTCTTCTCTTTTTCTTCTTCCCTCTCTCCCTCTTCCTCCCTCTTTCTCTTTCCCTTTCTCTCTTTCTCTTTCCTCTCCCTCTCTCTTTCCTCTCCCACACAAACACACACACAGAGGGAGGAGGAAAGAGAGAGAGAGAGAGAAGCTCTGTCTTTGTCTCTCCCTGCAAATGGCAGAGGAGGCTGGGAGCCGCAGGGGAAGGCTCAAAGAGCCACATGCAGCTCCAGAGCCGCAGGTTGCCAACCTGTGCTTTAGTCAAAGAAAAGAACATATGTAACTTGGTTTTCATTTGGAAACCACTTCTAGATTTTGTGCTTGTGTTGGAAAAATGAAATTTTGATTTTGGTTTTGCTGATTAGATATGTTCATTGTCATAGAAATGGCTAGTATATATTATTGTGTAAAAATAAAAAGTTGAGGCTATAATGTTATTATCTACTACCGTGATAAAGAGTCAGAAGTCACCACCTTTTTTTCTTTTTCCCCTTCTGCTCCTCATTTTGTCCTTTTCCCCTCCCCTTGTTTTCCATTATTTTCATTTTCCTTGATTATTAGAAAAAAATAACAAAATATTTTATACTAATAAATTATTAATATTTTGATCCATAACAAAAGAAATCATTAGCAGTTTTAAGCATAATGTCATGTTACTGTGACTTGTGATTTCCTGCCAGCTTCCCCACTGACTTTGCTTGTCAAAAGCCAAATTTGAAGGTTGTTAATCATAGAGTAAGAGGTAAACTCACAAATGTACTTACAACTGCTGTAAGGAAAATCAGAAGTTACTTCTTTGTATTTTTTCTACTTTTTAATGTAATTTTTACTTTCCTGCACTTTTATTTCTTTCTTTTTCTTTTCTTTCTCTTATTTTATGTTAGTTTGTATTGTATTGTATTTCATTTTTAATGTATGCCAATATGCCCGTTGTAAAAAATGACAATAAAGGTTGTCTGTCTGTCTGTCTGTCTGTCTATCATTTATTTCCTTTTTAAAAACTTTAATAAAATTATGTTTTAAAAAAGGAAGCTGGCTGTGAACATTTCAAATGGCAATCATATGACCATAGGATTCTGTGACATTTAAAAATGTATGCCACTTGTCAAGCACCCAAACATGATTACATGAGTGTAGGGACATTGCAACGGCTATAATTTTAAAAACCAGTTGTGTCATTTTTCAGCATCAATGGAACTTCAAAGTCACTGAATAAATGGTTGGTAAGCAAGAACTACCTGATTATAATTTTATTTATTTTTATTTCACGGATATATTTTGTGAAGATGACTTTGATCATCCTCTAGGATATAAAAAAGGTATTTCCTATGCAAATGAAAACATGTAATTCAAATTAATTAATTAAGTTCTCTAGAGTACCTCTATCACTACAGGTAAATTAATTAACTAAATTCTCTAGAATACCTGTATAACTACACTTGAGAAATTAATTTAATATACTTGAGGCATAATGAATGCCCAAGCAGAATGTTTCTCAAGTAACAACCATTTTACAATATTCACAGATATTTAACTATAATGACTAATTACTGTCTGAAATTATCTTAAAATTCTTAACACACACACTTATTTTTGCAACTATATAGTATGAAAATTAAATAATTTAAAATGGTATACAAAAAACTACCATTAGGTGCTAAATGTGCAATGCTTTACAAAATGAAAAACAAAAATACTAAACATTTCCAAAAGCATTTGACATCATCTTTAATAAGTAATCCTTTTGAATTATTTTATCAAACCCACCATCTTATCTTAGCTTTGCCCATCTAATTATGGATAAAGATCTCTTGGGAAGGAACTATGGCACTGTTGAGTACTGGATGTTGTTGTACTGCACTGAATTTAACTTTATCTTCCCCATCCATTTCACATGAATGGATAGCACTACTAAAAGTACATTTCCCATAAAAGACAATTCTGATGTGCTATCTATAGCTGCATAGTATACAACATTATCATTTGTATAATACTCCTGTATACTTTCTCTATATATGAATTTAAAAATTTAAGGATTTAAGTTAAACCACTTAAAGAAACCTATTACATATAAAAATCAATATTTAAAACATTTTCACCTGAGATATGTTTGAAATGAAGATTTCTTTTGGTTCCTCTCCTGTGGTATCTAGGACTTCAAATTCATCACCAAAGTCACAAAATAGACGTGCCCATATTCCATACACATCTGCACTTATAAACTATAAGAACACAGAGTAATGAGAGTTAGATTTCACAATTCTTGCATCGAATATTTTATTAATATTCCTGATGAAAGAAGTTAACATGTTAATATTTAATAAGATTTATAATTGGTCTATATTGAGTCTTTCAGAATTTGAAAAAAATAATAGATAATTATCCAATCTCTTTAGACCTCTGACCAAGTTGTAGTTTCAGAATTAACCTTGCAAAGTCATATTTGTACTATAACCCTGGATATAACACAAGAGTTTTTGCTTCTTTTAGCTTGCTTGAACAGAAATGTGTGATTTTGAAAAGGCTTGAACAAAAAATATATATAGAAAAATAGTAAAAGCTTTTAATTCTACTAACTTTTAAAACGGCACACCTGTACAGTATGTAAACACATTACAAAAGTTGAAAGATGGTTTTTTTTCAAAGATAATTTTTATTAAATTTTAAGATTTTACAAAAACAAAACAATCTTCCACCCAACCTCCCCAACCCTCCCATTCCCTCTCCTGACCTTCCCAGAGCTGAATATAGGCTTAATTAAAATTTCATCAAAAAATCTTAAAAAAAGATATAAACCATAAATGAATCTAACATTAGTTAGAAATCTAAATACATTAATTAGAAAAATTATAAAATAATTAACAATAGTATATATATAAAAAAAACATGAATACAAAAAATGTTTAGAAAGAAAAAGAATAAAAAAAGGAAAAAAGAACAAAAAGAAGAAAAAAAACCAAAATATTCCATTTTAAATATAAATTGTTAAAAAACTAAATATTTTTATATCCAACTTATGTTGTATAAAATCTATCCATTTTTTCCATACCACAACATACTTCTCTTGCGATTGATCCTTCAAAAAAGCTGAAATCTTTGCCATTTCCGCCAAATGAGAAACTTTGAGAAACCAGTCTTGCAAAGTAGGCAAAGATTCCTTCTTCCAACATTGCCCTACTAACAACCTTGCGGCTGTAATTAAATTTAACATCAATATAATCTCCTTAGTATCACAATCAGTAACGATACCTAACAAAAACAATTGTGGGGTAAATTTTACCCTCCTTCTAAAAATTCTTTGAATATTCCACCATATCTTAATCCAAAAGGCTTTTATATTTTTACACGACCACCAGATATGATAGTAAGTAGCATCCAAACATCCACATCTCCAACATTTAGGCTGTAAGTCAGGATACATACGAGACATTTTTTGTGGATCAAGGTGCCATCTGTAAAACATTTTATAAAAATTCTCCCTTAAATTCTGGGCTTGTGTAAATTTAACATTTCTCACCCAAATAGTTTCCCAGGTATCTAATAAAACTGGTTCACCAAAATTTTGTGCCCATTTAATCATATATTCTTTAACTAATTCTGCTTCTGAATGCAATTCTACTAACACCCCATAGATTCTCTTAATGTGAGTTCGTCTTTGATATTTTACTTGTTTAAAAAAATTCTCATCTTCTCTAAGCAAACCCACATTACAATCTACCTTCCATCTATCCACAATTTGTCTGTACTGAAACCATGAATATATAATATTTTCTTGTGCTAAATCTTCCAAAGCTTTTAACTGCCAATTTTTACCATCCCATCTAAGTAATTGTGCATAAGAAACATTATCCATCTTAACTCCTCTCCTTATCCCTTCTATCGCATGTCATGGTATGGCCCATAATGGAATTTTAGAATCAGTTCTATAATATTTCCTCCAGACCCAAAGTAAAGAAATCCTTATAATATGAGATTTAAAAACCCTGTCAACTTTTTTATTAAAAATTAAATAAGCATGCCATCCAAAAAGTAAATCCCAACTCTCCAAGAGGAGTATTTCTACATTTGTTAAGTTAACCCAATCACTAATTAATGTTAAAACCACAGCATAATACAATTTCAAGTTCGGTACCTTGAGTCCACCTCTCTCACGAGTATCTTATATAATTTTAAGTTTTACTCTTGGTTTTTTCCCTGCCCAGATAAATTTGTTGATACGTTTCTGCCATTCATTTAAATTAACCTCATTCTTTAAAATAGGTATCATTTGAAATAAAAAAAGAAACTTTGGCAGAACATTCATTTTAATCGCCGCAATTCTTCCCAGAAGAGATAATTGCAACTTCTCCCAATTTTTCAGATCTCTTTGTATCTTGACCCACAGCTTTTCATAATTATTTTTATACAGTTTTGCATTAGAGACAGATAAAGTAACCCCCAAATATTTTACCTTATCAACAACCTCAAAATCTGTCAAATTAACCAAAGTCTGCTTATCAAGATTGGTCATATTTTTGGATAATATTTTAGTCTTATTATTGTTAATTTTAAAACCCGAAACCCGTCCATATTGATGTATCAATTGTAATAACTCTACTACAGAATGAATAGGTTGTGATAAGGTAACCACCAAGTCATCTGCAAAGGCTCTTAATTTATATTCTTTTTTATTGACTTCTATTCCTTTTATTTGCTGTGATTCTCAAATTTTAATCAGCAATATTTCCAAAGTTAAAACAAACAGCAGTGGTGACAATGGACATCCCTGTCTAGTCCCTTTTTCTATTGTAAAAACCTCTGACAAACCCCCATTGACTATAAGTTGTGCCGTTTGTTTTTGATAAATAACACCAAGAGCTTGTAAAATTTTTCCTCCAAAATTCATTTTCTCAATTAATCTTACCATAAATTGCCAATTCAATTGATCAAAAGCTTTTTCAGCATCTAAAAATATCAATCCTGCAGAAACTTGATTATTTTTATCTAAATATTCTAATAAATTAATGATTTGTCTAACATTATTCTTCATATACCTTCCAGTTATAAAACCTGTTTGGTCTGTGTATATGACATGATGCAAAACCCTCATGAGTCTATTGGCTAAAATTTTCGCAAAAATCTTATAATCTTCATTCAAAAGAGATATAGGTCTATAATTCTTTGGTAAAGTAAGGTCTTGATCTTCTTTTGGAATTAAAGATATAAAAGCTCTACCCCATGACGGGGGAATCTCTGAGCCCTGTAATATATTATTAAAAAGTTCACTTAAAGGTTGAACCATCTCTTGTACCAAAGTTTTATAATAAATAGATGTCAAGCCATCCGTACCCGGTGCTTTACCTAATTTTAATTCTTTGATCACCATCTCAATTTCCTCATTAGTGATCAAACCATTAATTTCTTGTTTCTGATCTTCTGTTAATTTAGGGAAGTTGACTTCATTTAAATAATTATCTATGTCTAGAACCTGTACTTTAGTACTCTTATATAATTTTTGGTAATAATCTAAAAAAGATTTCTTAATCAACTCCTTCTGATATACCAATTTACCATTATAATTTATTTTATCTATAGTTCTCTGTGTCTGTTTCTTTCTCAATTGATATGCCAACCATCTCCCTGGTTTGTTAGCATTACAAAATGTATTTTGTTTCATATACAATAAATTAGTTGCAGTTTGATCAGCCATCAACATATTAAATTGTGATTTAAACAATTTTATAGATTCTTTAACCTTCTCATCTGTAGGATTTAAAATCAAAGTTTTTTCTTTTAATTTAATCTCATTTTCCAATTCCTTACATTTCTGAATTTGCTTCTGTCTGTAAGCATTATTCATTTGTATCAAAATCCCTCGCATGAAGGCTTCACCTGCATCCCATACCATAGACATTGAAGTTCCCTTATGCATATTTAAAACAAAATAATCCTTTAAATGCTCCTTTAATTTTTGGACATTCTTTTCTTGTCTAAATAAGTTTTTATTCATCCTCCACGATCTCCTCTCCTCTTTTTCATCAACCAACTCCATCCAAACTGGACTATGATCCGTCAATGTCCTAGGAAAAATTTTAACATTCTTTACCCTAAAATATAAGTCAGTTGTGATCAAGAAAAAGTCAATTCTTGAAAAAGATTGGTGACTATCTGAAAAGAAAGTGAAGTCTCTCTCCTCCTGATTGCGTTCACGCCAATAATCTCTCAGCTTCCAGTCCTCTTTCAACTCAAAAAAGGCTTTAGGTAATTTAGCCTGTTTGAAAGAAGTACAAGATCCTTTTTTGTCTCTTTGAGTATCTAACACACCGTTCCAGTCTCCCATTAATATAATAGATCTATAATCCAACAAAGTTAATTTCTGGTGTAGCAGTCTATAAAATTGTTCCTGTTGTTGATTTGGTGCGTACAATCCCACTATAAGTATTTTCTTACCATATAAGGCAACTTCAATCATGACATATCTCCCTTGAAGATCAGATTCTACCAAACAGGCTGATAAGTTTTGCTTAACATAAATAACTACTCTCCCTTTTTTCCCAGGAGCAGAAGATACAAAATGAGATCCCAAGCGAGCATTACCTAAGTATTTTTGATCTTTAAGAGTAATATGTGTTTCCTGCAAACAAATAATATCATTATTGTGTTGCTTTAAGTAATGAAAGATTTTCTTTCTCTTTTGGGGGGAATTAAGGCCATTAGCATTCCAGGTCAGGAGCTTTACCATCTCCCTTAACCAAAAGCCTGGAGAAGACTGCTTGAAGATCTGCCATTGAAGAATATGCTGCAGAACTCTTGGGTCTTGCTCCTCCCACCGGCAGTGAAGCAATTTCTTGAAGAGATTCTTTAACTTCTTTCTTCTGTTGTTCCTTTTCCTTACGTCTATGTGCTGCACGGGTCATCCTTTGCTCTTTGATCTCTGTTTGTCGCGACCACTCCGCCTGTGGCTTTCCAGCGACCATCAGACCTAATCCTTCAGACTGCTGTTCCACCTCTTTATCATCCAGACCTTTCTGCATGAAAGATGTTTTTAATATGCTAATGAACTACAGATAGCTGCTTTTTTCCACAAGGGACTGCAGATGAAACTTATTATCAGAAAAGTCATGACTGATGTTTAGACACAGAATAAAATAAAAATTCTAGACTAATAAAATAAAAATGACTATCAAAAATAATCAAAAGTTTATTTTAGGGATAATATCATTCAAATATAAAATGTATAAAA